ACACCTTCATACGCAAATGTCATATCTTGAAGGACACACAACCTGTTAGCAAATTCGAATTAAGGTCAGAGGAATGCATCTTTCTCGAGTATTCCATGAATAGCAAGATTTATCGTGTCTTCAATTTAAAAGGAAGAAGGTGATGGAATCCTCAAATGTGAAATTTGATAATGGCTTGAAGGACAAAGAAGACAATGATTTTGATGTTGAAGCATCTGTTGAAAAAAAAAATCAGAGATCAAAAGAAGTTGCAGATGAAATTGAGTATGATCCAGAGGCTGATCATACCAGCCATGAACAATCATCTGGTGAAGAGGATGAACCAGAAACTGAAGTAAGAAGGAGACCAAGAATCAGAAAGTATCACCCCTCTGATGCCATTATTGGAGACCCTCAAGGAGAAATGATGACTCGAGGTAAAACAATCAACTTTCGAGATCTCGCTGGGATGAACTACTTCATGTCCAAAGTGGAGCCTAGAAACATTAATGAGGCACTCGAGGATGAATACTGGATCACGGCCATGCAGAAGGAATTACTTCAGTTTAAAAGAAACAAAGTGTGGGAGCTGGTTCAACCACCATCAAATGTCAATGTGATCGGTACCAAGTGGATTTTTCGAAATAAAACGGATGAGGTAGGAAATGTCATCAGAAACAAGGCTAGGCTGGTCATCCAGGGTTATTCTCAGCTTGAAAGACTCGACTACAATGAGACGTTTGCCCTCGTTGCTCGAATTGAGGTGGTACTACTGCTTCTATCCAATTCATGCACTCTTGAGTTCAAGTTATTCCACATGGATATGAAAACAACATTTTTAAATAGATGGATCAAAGAGGAAGTCTTTGTTGCTCAACCAAGGGGATTTGAGAGTCCAACTCATCCGGAGTATGTCTACAAACTTCACAAGGCACTCTATGGACTCAAGCAAGCTCCAAGGGCTTGGTATGATCGTTTATCGTCATTCCTTCTTGATTATGTTCGTGGCTCCATCGACAAGACATTGTTCATTAAACATGCTAGAAAGAATATCGTAATTGCTCAAGTCTTTGTGGATGACATCGTCTTTGGATCCACTTCAAATATCTTGAAGAATGAATTCGTGGATCTTATGTCAACGGAATTTGAGATGTTCATAATGAGTGAGCTGAACTTTTTTTGGGGACTACAAATCAAGCAGTGCAAAGATGAGATTTTTCTTTGTCAGATTAAATACGCTCGAAACCTTGTCAAAAGGTTCGACATGGAGAATTCAAAGGCAATTTGGACTCCTGTGGGACTACATGAGAAATTGTCAAAGAGTTACTCTGGACATCCAGTGGATCATAAATTATATAGGAGTATGATTGGAAGCTTACTCTACCTCATGGCCAGTAGACCAGATATTTGCTTCAGCATATGTGTGTGTGCCCGATTTCAGGCAAATCCCAAGGAGGCACATCTCAAGGCAGTCAAAAGGATCATTCGATATGTTAAGGGCATAGCTGATTTTGGCATATGGTATGAAAAGGGATCATCGGTGGACTTGATTGGATTTATGAATTCCGATTGGGCTAGATGTAATGATGATCGGAAAAACACCTCAAGTGGCTATTTTTTAATCTCATCAGCTGGTTCTCGAAAAAGCAAAACAACATCGCTCTGTCAACTGCAAAAACGGAATATGTTGCTACAGCAAGTGGCTGTTCACAACTTATCTGGATGAATAAAATGTTGAACGACTATGGGTTTAGCCAAGAAAGCTTCACTCTTCATTGTGACAACAAAAATGCGATAAACATTTCAAAAAATCCAGTTCAACACAATCGCACAAAGCACATTGATATTCGATATCACTTCATTCATGAATTGGTGGAAGATGAAACATGTGATGTGCAGTATGTTCAGATATCCATGCAAGAGGCTGATATCCTCACCAAAGGACTTGATTCAGAAAGATTTGAGATGCTAAGGAGGAGTTTGGGTATGTGTACCCATCAGTAAAGGTCCAAAATCTTTCCATGTTCCATATCATGCACTGAAATAATTTGATGAATAATATAGGCATGAGCTTTACTTGTTCATTGATGTTTTTGAGATATGAGAAAGTTTTTGAAAATTACGGAAAGAAAAATATAAGGAGAAATTGAGATGTGCGGGAATGAATTGATGTGCTAGAAAATGTTGTTTTGTATCTATTCTCTGCAACCGAGATATACTAGTGGTTATCCAAATTGTTGATGAATATGCTTCCATGGAGTCTGAGGATTCCAATGTCTATGCCTTTGATGGAGAATGAGAAATTGCTGCCTCTGCTACTAATCCAGAACCATCCCCTATTGTTGCTTATCTTGATACTATTGTACCTGAAAGTACCCAACAATAAGGAGTTCAAGAAAAGATTAATCCCCATGGAGAAAATATGGATGATGATGGAAGAAACACCATTACTGATGATGGTATTAATGATGTTGATATTCTTCTTTCCATATCCGAAGTGGACAACCAAGATGAGCTTGTAGAAGAAAATTTATTTGATGACCAAGAGAATACATGTGAGAACCCTGTCCTGCAGTGCAGTTCAGTGATGAACCGGATGACAATGTAATATTATCTGTCTTGAAGGATTGAAAACAAAAAATGAGGCATTGATCCAATTCCTAAAATTGCGTCGTTTGACCCCTAATGTGGACGACATTGAGGATTTTGAAAGTGATGTCAAGGCTATTAAAGCCTCCAGAACTGATCGTGCATAAACTCAACCTTTTTGGCAGATGTCTCCCAAGGGGGAGAATGAGGAAGGAGATGAGCTTCATGACATGTTGTCTAGGGCGAGAAGCTGATGTCAAGGGAGAGACAATGAGAAAAGAACCACCATATGGAAAAATTTTTCGGGTTTGTTTGTTGTTGGTCCATGCGGATTCACTAACATCTTGTTTCTCTAAATATGGGATACATTAACCAAAAAGGGAGAGATTGTTGGTATGAAATTTTGTTTGATGTATCGGAGATTCGCAAAATGTTCAAATAACCAACTGGTGAATGTGTGGCTCCTAAATTGGCCACATTGGCTCCTGATGTGGAATGTTTTTCCACATATTTTATGAGTTGAAAATTCTTTTTTAAAAGATAAAAAGACAATTGGACTCTGTTTGTTTCATTGACAAAAGGCACAGGGAAAAATGTGCAAGCATTGATTTGGAAAAAAAAAAAAGAGAGATGAAGAAAGAGGAAGGGATACTCTACCCTCTTTGGATCTGCCGACTTATCAGACAACGAAGCTAATGCCTGCATGTCTTCAAATTTGCTCAGGATGCTCGGTTCAAGGCCTGATATATTGGTCTTTGAAAATCCCCAACATTGGATAAATTGTTTATCTTAATGCTTGACTGTAATCAAAGACAAAATGCCTTGTCCCTCATGCTTGCATCAAAATGGAAAGTCAAAAAGTGATAAAGATAAAGGAATGGAGACTCAGTCCGTTTTGGATCCAAACAACCAATCAGCTATCTACATGACTGCAACCTGCTCGGGTTCATGGTTCAAGGTCTGATGTTGTGGAAGGGGGCTTTTATAATTTTCTAAGAGAGAAAATGAAATATCTTTCGTATTATAAGTAGAGAGTGAGAACTTGAAGAGTTCTACTCATCTTCACTTAAAGGAAAGCCCAAATCCCATGACATAATAGTTGAGTTTCACTTTTAGTTGAGGGAAGTGTTCTCTTTTATTTTGAGGGATTTTCGTTGTGAGGTTAGACCATGTTTTGAGTAGAAAAATTTGGGAGGATTTTTATATATTTACAGCAGTCTCCTGTGTCGACAAATTGCCGAGTGTTTGTTTAGTTCAAAGGGGATTCCAATGAGAGTTGAAGGAGGAGAAGGTGGCAAGATGCCAACAACAACGTCCCATTTCAGAGTATAACCAATGGAGGTCGAGGCCTTGCATGCTTGTCTTTACGAAGGAAGATGCACTTGTATGTGGTAGGAAAACCAATATATTTAAGTTAGCTTTGTCTGTTGATTTGTGGAGTGTGTGTGAGGAGCTTTTGTATTTTGTTCCTGTCTTACTCATAGTGGAATTGCCTTGGGTTGGTACTCCCCAGACGTAGGCCGGTTGAGGGCCGAACTGGGTCAACAAACACTGGTGTGCTGTTTGTTTCGATTCACTCTGCACTGCACTTTTTGCTGTTTGTTTGTTGTTCGAATCTCAAGCAGACAACAACACTCTGAATACAACAAACCTTTTGAATTTGCATTCCATTCCGCTGCATCATTCAAAAGTGATCAGGATTGGAGTTTAAGGTGTAGAAATACATCTGGTGGGACGGTCAATGTGAATTTACATTCCTTGCCCTGTATTAAAGGTACCTTGGAATCAAGTCAGCCGATCAAGGTATCTTCTTTTAATGGTGCGGACGTACAAATATATTTTGTGGAGCTATCTTGATGTCTCGTAAGTTTATAAAATTCTCATGCAATACTTCTATTTCTTCCAAGTAGCCTTCCATCTTATATTCATATTAAAAGTGGATTATGAAATTCCTTTCAACCAAAGGATCCTCTATTTGAAGGAACTGTTTCATTTGATTCATCTTTCTGATGTATTGTAAAGTTTTGCATCCTGCCCTTTTTACAACTAATTATATTTTTCAACCAATAATTGCTTTCGGCCTTAGTTTCTTCGACGGTTATGATATGGGTCTTTTGAGCTTTGAATTTACGTACAACACTTTGCTATTTTATGGCTTTCGATTGCATTGAATTGGGTGCTATATGAATTTCGTCTAACAATTGTGCGAAGAAAATATAGCCGCCACCTGCGTGTACTTCTACTATATATACTGGCTCTACATGATTTCTCTAAACCATTTGGATTTCATATAGTTAACGTTGGCAATGGTATGTAAGAATATATGTTGAAGGTGTACTATAGATAATATGGTTAACAATTTCTGTTGTCTTATATATTAGTATATAATATACGAAAAAAAAAATCTGAAAATGTGAATTTATGACACACAGGAAGGATACCGAGCTGTTGTATGGAAAGCTTACAATGGACAAAGCCCAAAGGAAAGAAATAATGGGTTATTAATTAATTTACATTTTATTTTAAGATGATTTTGTTATTTACCAGTTTGAATTTGGAAATATTTCAAGTATAGCTTGTGTTCTGTGCATGTGAGAAGAAAAATGATAAGTCGGCTATGTATGTAGGAAATATAATGATTAAGAATTTTGCCATGTCATTACATTGTTTTAGTAATTTTTCTCATTTGTTTTTAAGATGTGAATGCTTATTATTTTAGATGGGAATTAGTATTTAATGGTCTTGTAGTTAAATTTTACCTCATTTGATTTGGTTGGTTTCTTTTTAGCTTTTATAATTATTAGCTAGCAATAATATTTAAATTACTGGGTTTGTTCTCATTTATAAAATTTTTATTGGCCACCTTTTTTTATTTAAAGAACATATATGTTATTTAGTGGTCGTTCTGCTCAATGGTGACACATGCAATCAATTATTTTATTTTGATATAAAAATTTAAAATGGCGTTGTTATTCAAATAATTTAAAATAGATTATTTGAAATTTAAAATTTAAAATACCACATGAGGGACGGGCTCCAACTGAAGGCTAAGCAACGCTGCCAAAGGTGGCGGTCGTCAGCAGCTCCAGGCAGCACCAACAACGACAACAGCAACGAACAATTATCATCCGACTTACATGAATCGCATCTCCAAAACACCGGCAGCTTGCTTCTCCGGCTATTCAGCCGACGACGAACTGCGGCGGCCTGCAGAAATTCGGCAGGGACAGCGTCTTCTAACAGCTACAATAAAGACAGTAAAGCTAAAGAGAGATGGAAGGTTAAAAAATCAATGTAATTTTTTTAATTGAATACATATATATATATATATATATATATAGAAAAGAAGGAAAAAATAAAACATTGCATTGTAGAAGTAAAAAGTTGGGTGGAGCACGAATAGACGTTTGGAAAACTGCAACATTCACAATTACTTTAATTTTTACTTTTAAATATAAAAATATATGTATAAATAATAAATTACAAATTTTATATATTTATAAATAAATATACTTATACTTCAAGAGTAGTTATTACTACCGTTTAATTATGGTACAAAAATTATAGTATCATTTAATATATACAAATAAAAATAAATAAATAAATATAATACTAATTGTAACTGTAAAATAATATATGGAGTATATATCTTATATTTACATAATAATATAAATTTCTTAATATATTATGTATTTAAATTGAACAATTTTTATGATTGTATTTAATAAAATAAAGTATAATTTCTTATTATTTGTATTTAAATTACATAATATTTAACGTTTATATTTAAATTGTATAATATTAAAAATTATAAATATACATATAAAAAATAATTATATATAATCATTTATTAAAAATATATATTAAATAAAAAATTCTTATTTTATATTTACGATGAAACCCACACTAAATTCAAAATAATAATTGTTGAGTAAGAAAAAACCAATGTGCAGGGTTTTCGAGAATGGGCCTAGGGCTGTGGACTGGTGTATAGTTCAATGGGCCTGGTAATGGCAGTGAAATCCTAAATAGGTCTGAATATAAGCCAAACGACCCAATTATTATTAAGAAATGAGTTTTTTCGAGAAAGATGTGATTAGGATGAAACGGCCGATACGGAGGTCGGTCAAAAGAGGAAGTCGGGCGAAGAAAGATGAGACGGCCGATACGGAGGTCGGTCAAAAGGAGGTCAGGCGAAGAAAGATGAGATGGCAGACACGGAGGTCGGACAAGAGGAAAGGTCTGTTAATTGGTCGGGCGACGAAAGGTCCGTTAATTGGTCGCTTAATTAAGCGACCTGTTAATCGACTGATCGATTGACCGGTCACTTGGTCAAACAGTAGTTCAGTCACTTGATTGGGCGACCAATGAATCGTCTGGATGAATGGTTGTTCAGCCGAGTGAAGGGACTAGATTGTGGTCGCTTGATTGGGCGACCAATGAATCGTTTGGACGAATGGTTTTTCGGCCGTTTGAAGGGACCGGATGGTGGTCGCCTGATTGGGCGACGAATGAATCGTCTGAACGAATGGTTGTTCAACCGATTGAAGGGATTAGATGGTGGTCGCTTGATTGGGCGACCAATGATTCGTCTAGAAAAATGGTTGTTTAGCCGATTGAAGGGACCAGATGGTAGTGGCTTGATGGGACGACCAATGAGTCATTTGGTCTAGCGACCAGTTAGTATCTGGATTGGTCGGTTGGTCAATCGTTGGGTTATGCGGTAGGTTCAGTCGGTCGGCCTGCAGTCTGTCTAAAGTATGCTGGGCGGTTGAGTAGTCGTTCGGGACTAACCATACATTTAAGAAGGTAAGGTGCCAGAGGCGGTCGGTCGAGCCAATTAAGTCTTGTAATTGGCATAAGCGGTTGGCGAGACGGTTAAGACATGTGTCAATAGAGGAGGAATTGGTGGGCGGTTGATAGCGGTTGCTGTAACCGACCAGACGACGGTTCAAAACGTTTCTTTAGGGAATATTTAAAAGAAACGTAGCAGCAGGTGTGCTGGTCAGACGAAAAGCAGTTCTAAGACGGTTGAGAGAAGTTGCAACCGGCGAGCGAATATGAAGGCACGACCTGGTTGTGGCGGTTGACATATATTTTAAATAGGTCTGTTCATGACCTAAAGAAACCATCTTCAATCGACATCAAATTCAGTGAATTGCTTTTGGGGATCACAATTTTACTTTTACAGTGCGTAGTATTTATTTTTCTTGTTTTATTTATGTATCGTACGGTGTCTAGAGATTCTTAATCTCAGACATTTATTTTATCAAATTCGAAAATAATTTCTATTTTCGAATTTTACATTTTATTGTTGAAAATCGATATCAACAATAATATTATTTATTAAATAATAAATTGTGTAATTTTTATGAAGGTTGATATATAAATAAAAATAAACAAATTATTATAATTATATTTAATATATTAAGTATATAAAAATTAGTATTTATCAAAATTTTATTATAAGTATTTTTACAATATATATAAGAAACTTAAAATGTTAAAATACAATGCGGTACATATAAATTTTATATATAGTTAAAAAAAAAGTTTATATGCATTAAATAAACAATTTTTAAAAAATATAAATAACAGTAATTATGTATTATCTACTTTTCCTATAACCAATCAAAATCTCCAAACAATCAAAAATTAAAAAAAAAAATTAAAAATAGCTAAAAATTCTTGCTTTTTATTTGATGGACCCGTAATAAGTTCAAATACATAGATATATAAGATAAGATATAAGATAAGATTCAATATACTATTACCTTGTTCAATGATATTATTTGCCATCAAAGAAATCATATTTAGATATATAAGATAAGATATAAGATAAGATTCAATATACTATTACCTTGTTCAATGATATTATTTGCCATCAAAGAAATCATATTTTTCCCTTGAGGATGATGTTTAATAGAAGGTAGCATAATCCCTTCATCTATCATAATAATGATGCAAATATTTAATTCATAAGTATAATTAATTTATGTTATATGTATTGTAAATTATTAAAATATGTTAACATAATAATAAAACATGAGTCATTTTGTAATTAAAATATTTATGTATATTTAATTATACCTTTTTATCGGGAATCGTGCACTAATTTAATTCACCAATACCATCAAAGTTTATTGAAGTACATGTAAGCATATAATTCACTAGTGATAATCTACTCAATATATGTTAATAATAAATGTCATAGGTATTTTATATATATATATATATATAATACACCGTTGATACTAACATTTAAAAAATAGATTAACATGAATTAAATATAAATATAAAATATTATGTAGTCATATTTAATCAAAATTATTACCTTGTCTAGTGATAATATTTGCCGCCAAAGAGTTTATATTTTTCCCCTATGGTTGCTCTTCAATAGAATGTGACATAATCTCTTCATCTAATAATCATAATAAGGATGCAAATATTCATTCATAAGTATAATTAATTTATATTATATACAACACCGTAAATTATTAAAATATGTTAACATAATAATAAAATATGAGTAATTTGTAATTAAAATATTTCCCCGTCCAAAAAGAAGAGTACTGTTTATTTTTTTTGCGTCTAGATCTTTAAAAATTAATTATTATATTAATACGTAATACAAATAAAGAGAAAAAAATAAAAATATCTCTATTAGTATCTTATAATACATATTTATAAAATAAATTATACAAATATAAAAATATTTTTAATATTAAATAGAATAACACAAAAAGCAAATGATATCCTTCTGGAGGAAAGTAGTATTTTATATATTTAACTATATACTTATTCTCATGATTAATCATATGTGTAGTGTTTGATTCACTAATATCATAAAAGTTTTATGAAGTACTTGTAAGCATATAATTTATATGTGATAATCTATGCAATATATGTTAATAATAAGTTCTATAAATATATGTATTTTTTCAATATATGGTTGATACTTACAATACAAAAATTAAATAAACCTCAAGTGTACACTAAATAAAATTATATATTCTATATAAACATATTAAATAATAATTAAATCTGATATTTTATTACATTACTCCATAATATTAACGGAATCCAAAGAATTTATATTTTTTCGTTTGTAATAATAAGATTTATATGCCTTGTTATTTGAAATCATATACTATTACCTTGTTCAATAATAACATAAGATAAGATTCAATATTTTTTCGTTTAGTGATAGTGGTCGATTGATCCATGTGCTTAGGCCGTAGGACTTTGTGCTTAGCCTGTAGAGGTGTGAGCTAGAGTCTTAGAATTTAGTGCCTAAGATATTATTTGTGTTAGTGCTGAGTGTTCTCGAGTTGACGTCAAATAAGGTGGAGCTCCTTTTATGTGATTCTAAGTTTTGTATTCGGCATGTGATTGGTTTCTTTTGTGTATATGCATGTATGTTGGTGGATTATATAGTGATGCGAACACAACCGAATGATTCGTAAACTCGAAAACCACAGGAAGTAATGTAATAGAAAGATGCGGAATTTGGTGGAAGAATAGAGATGGAAGAATATGTATAGATAGATAATTTGGCTTCTCGATCCACGAGGTTGATCAGAAAGGCACCACGTGAGAACTAAGAAGCACGTAACAAAAAATCTTTAAACCAATCAAGGAATGGAG